TCCAGTCTCAACTGGTCCATTAAGTCTTTTTTTTTTTTTTTTTTTTTAAGGAATTTACTTGAGGTCCTTTTATTTTTCTCCCATTCTATCAGGGTCCATTTTTTACATGTCTGTATTAATTGTTTCTGGGTTGCAGGTTTCTCCAGCACCCAGTCCCAGATATTTGAGGCTAGAAGAAATCCCAGGGAACTCACTGCCATGTCGTTCCTGGGATCCCAAGATCCTCAGATCGTTGCTGTTTTCTCTCCACCTCTCAGAGTCTTCTTATGTTAGTTCTGTATCTCATGTCTAGGAGTTTAACTATGCTTATCAGGAAGACTACAGAGAAGTGTGTCTGCTCTATTTTGTTTGGAACTAGAAGCCCTCTTGCCTTAAAAAAGTGTGTGTGTGTTTTAAAAATCATGTATGTTTGATGTCTAAATAAAAATTGTTTAAGTTAGTTGTTGCTGAACTTTATAAAAATGAAATCAGACTATAGGAAATCTTCTGGACTTTTTTTTAACTCAGTATTTTTATACAAAATTATATTTTTAAGATTTATCCTTTAAAAGTTCCTTTACTGCAGGTCTCTTAGTGGTAAACTCTCTGGGTATACAATTTTACGTTGGCATTCATTTTCTCCCACTCTTTTGAGCTTATTATTTTAGTCTTTTGGTTTCTGTCAGTGTTTTTGAGAGGTCTTTTGTAATTCTATTAATCATTCATTTGTAAGTTATTTATCATTTATATTGAAGATGATCTGTTTGTCTTTCAGTTTACTATTTTCAAAAAATTTTTTGTTGAAGCAAAAGAGACAGACTGGGGGTGCACAGATCATGAAGTGATTGGGCCCATGGAAACACCACTTAAGTGAAGAAATTAGAACATTGCCAGCATCCCAGAAATCTCCCTCATATCTCCTTCCAGTTATCACCCAGTCCCTCTTTTCCAAAACTATTGGTTTTTCCTGCTTTGAAACATTATATGAATGGAGCTGTTGTATGTAATCTTTCCAGTCTGGATTATTTCACTCAACATTACGTTTGTGAAATTAATCAGTGTGATCAAGTGTACCTGCAGTTCACTCGTTTTCACGATTGAAAATGAGTATTCCTGTATATGAGTATACCACAATTGATTTATCTTTTCTACTTCTGATGGACATATGAGTTGTTTTCAGATATGTATATTACACATAATGTCACTGTGAACAGTCTTAAATATGTCTTTTAGTAAATATATGTGTGCACTTCTGAGAGTGCATAACTTGGAGTGGGATTTCTGGATCATATTTTGTTCAGTTTTAGTAACTAGCTGTCAACAGTATTGCAAAGGTACTTACCAATGTAGACTCCCACCAGCAGTGTAAGAGATTAGTTCCAGTTGCTTCAAATCTTCATCATCACTAATGTTGTCAGTCTTTTTAATTTTAGCCAATCTGGTTGTATGTAGTGGTATCTCACTTTGGTTTCGATTTTCATTTCCTTGATGAAATTGTATACATTTTCATATGTTCATTGATTATTAAAGTCTCTTGACCATTTTCTTTCTTTTTCTTTTTTTTGGGTTTGACACTTTATTGGTATTTTAGTAAAGACATTCATCTCAGTCGTTTCTCTCTCGCATCTTGACCTTAGGTAAATATTTCAATTGGGTCAAGAAAAGAATATGTAGGAGAGGGATAATTATTATTTTAACATAAACATTAAAATGAATGAAAATGGAAAGTTTGCCTATATTAAGTTAAAGTTAAATTCATGTATCTTGATATAATTAAATCATGTAAGTAAGTAAGAACTAATGGTTCTATATACATTTCCATTGTTCTGCTGTTGTTAGGTGCCGTTGAGTTGGTTCCGACTCATAGCGACCCCATGTACAGCAGAATGAAACACTGCCTGGTCCTGCGCCATCCTCGCAATTGTTGTTATGCTTGAGCCCATTG